TGAAAACAAACATTGTAAATAAACATGATGTTAATAAGAATCCCAACTGGCTGGAGACAGACCAGTTGGAGGGCTTGACATCAGATTATAAGTCCAGCGCCCTAACCACTCTGCCACACTGTCTCTTCATTAAGATGACGTTTAAAAAAACAAATCAGAGCAAAATAAAACTCGCCATTTTTTTGCACCGAAGCCGTGTGTGGAGGTGGTCGAAATTTTCCTTTTTTTGTCACAGTTTTATTTATCCACTTTTTTTTTTTGCGAGATCGTATTCATTCCTGGCGTAAGTAAGGGAGGTGGGGCGCAGCACGGCGGGGAGGTAAGATGTAACAGCATTCAACAGACAACAAGCATGTTATTGAGTGTTTCACTTTGTTAAGTTGAAAACGAGTATGAAGAAGTCCTTCATGTCGAAAAACTACTTGTCTAATTGGTCAATCGATAAAAGCTCCTCTATTCTTCTTAAGACCATAACACTGTCTTGATAAAGCACCAACAACAGCTACAACGGCACAGGTAGCAGAAGCAATGAAAAGGTCGGTAGAAAGACAGGAACTTAACAAAGAGGTATTAGAGAATATCTCTTCAGTATTCTAGCACTGTGAAGATGGAGTAGTTTGGCAGAGTGACAGGGCGGATAATAAATGCAAAGGAGTCAGCACTTGGAATATAAAGGGTAAGATGTTTGTTTACACACAAAGTGTCGGGTCAGTTTCACAATGGGAAAAACGTGTGCCACTGTGCGTTAACCTCAGGAAGGACATCGATTCCAACCTTGTTGCAAACAATAGTCATTTTTATGGCACGAGTTAACGTAGCTGAACTTTACACATGATTTTAAAACATGGTATGGCGTAGAATTTCAAAGTTTGTGGATTGAGTGTAAACGAATAGGATGCTACTATGATTCAATTTAAAGTAATGGCCGTTGACTGATATTCTAACATTCCTCCATTGGTTTCCAGTAAGGTTCTTTAGATTAATTCAATACACTGTAGATAGAATATACTGCAAATTGAAAAAAAAAATTTCTATTTAACTCAATGGTCGCTCAACAACTCGTGATAACAATTTGTCCATTTGCTGTTGTAATATGTACATTTGGTATCCAGATGTCTGATAAATACATTACAAAAGGTAGCCTTAGTGCGCCTTTCTCATTTACACCATGTTTGATCCATAGGTAATTTCACTTCAGACAAAATTATTACCTGTAGTTTAGACTTCCCTGACCGCGCTGTGCCAAGAAACTGGTTCTTAGGCAATGGTCTTTAACTTTTGGTGATGTTACCCCGCACCACATTATCACCTTAATAACTAAATTCTGTCAAGAACGACCTTAAAGCAGACCGTCAGATTGATAACAGTTTTAGAACAATCATAAAAAGCAATCTTACGTGTGTAGTCTGGCGGGCTGTATTAATTTCTGAATTTATTTCATAGCTCATGATTCAAGAAAGAAAAACATTCATTATTTTAGTGCTTGAAAAACGACAGACTAGACGGATTCCAAAAAGTTTTTGTCATGGCATCTCACAGTCCACTTCGCTGTGGACTAAATGATACGTACACATCTCCGACTGTTTGTCAAGAAATGTTGCTAAAGATGGTTTCCAAGAAGGTTGGCACGCTGGTTGTGGTTATATCATTAGCGGAAAAGCGACGTAAAACAGACTATTCTTTATGCAAATGTATTTAAGGTTTAAATCAACTGAACACCCGCTTAGAGATGGTGCTAAAAGATGCTTAGGGAAAAATCTGTCAATTCAAAGTTCTAGCTTTTCTGCCCTCTTGAGACCAGTCATCATCTCACAACAAATACATACTATAGACAGGTGTAAGATGGGATTTTCAGAGGTCCTCGCAGCTCTTCAGAAAATGAAAAAGAAACGAAATAACAGTCAATCGTGACTGATTTTTGTAAGGTTGTGATTCAAATGGCTTTGTAATGAATGAATTTACAAATAATTTGTGCTTCCATTCGTTGTTCAGCTGTGACACTTGCTGTACAGTAGTGCCTTTTCACGATTTGAGCTAAGCGTTTGAAATTTGGTTTATTGTATGGTGAGGTAGAAAAGTCTTTTCATGGCTGAAGTTGAATGAAAGTCTGCTCAAGAAAGTAAGAAAACATTTGAACGATGTTGTTAAGCGACCATTTTAATTGCGATTTCTAATTAGGAAAGGGATTAGTATTTACATATTGTTACATTCAAGCACGACATTACCTTTAAAAAATTATTTATGAGAATTTTAGCACCTTGATGCAGGGTTGGTACAGGTTTGGCTTGATTTACGAGCGGATCAACTCAGCGCGAACAGTCATAGCCTTCATGGGTGCGGTGTAAACTAAACTGACTGTCATCTCTTTAGCGAGTCACTGAGGAAAATGGTGTCATGTTGTTTGGAGATGTTTTTGACGCGTGTTTACCCTTTCGCTTTTGTTGATCATTAACATAAAATCAACTTCTTTTACTTCTGTAGAAACAATATGTAGTCCAGAAGCATAGATGATGATCATATCTTTTTTCTAGACACGCCGTTCTCAAAGATAAGGCGGAAGAGGAGAAACGTTTATGTAGCGCTTTGTGAATCTATCAAGACTATTTGAATGACTAGAAGATGATGTGTTCTCTTTCTGAGTTCTTCACTCATTTTCTATCCCACTGCTCTCTCCGCGGGCAGACAGTGAAGAGAGAAAAAATAAGACATTTTTTCGGATCAAGGTAAGGAGACGGTTTTTCTTTACAATATGGCCGGCTATTTTAGCTCCACCGACTGGAAGAAGTTACACACGTTAGCTTTGGTAAGTTGAGTGAAGGTCATTAGCCACGCACCGCCTTCTAGTTGCCGTTGGCTTTTCAAAACCAAAGAAAGAGATAGATCTTAGTATATGATAAATGCCTTTTGGACAACTGCTGATTTTTCATCTTTATCCTCTAAGTTATAACAATTTGAAAAATCTCTCTTGGTTTCATTATAATCCCTGCAAATAATACTGACCACTTTTAGCCTCACATTACGTCTATTTTCTTGACTAAACGGTGTCCGCAATTAAGGTTTGACACCGCACTTTATAGGAGCCTTAAATAATACTATCAGCACAAGAACATGTTACCTGTGATCATATTGTTTCTTTACCGAATGGGATGTTCACTTCCGTGTAGTAGTACTATTACACCGAAATTATATGAAATCATTCCACACAGTTTTACTAGTAACAGAGGCTAATAAGTTATCACGAAGAAAAGAAGCCGCTGTAGCCCCAAGGATGCAAATTACCATAATCTGCCATACCTCACGCCCCTCTCTTCCATAAAGAGGTTATCAGAGCATCTTTAAACAGCAAAACACTCAGGTTAAGTCACGTTTTTGTAAACAAGCGCTTAAACAATGCAAAGAATCAAACCTGACACTAAGTCATGGAAGTGGTATCTTGGGAGACAAGCCATTAGCAGTCGCTACAAATAGATCCCGAGTTTCTTTTTGTTTCGCAGCAATTAGCTAAAGGAAAATAATTGTAGCGGCACTTTCCGCTCATGAATAATCTAAAATCGGTATTCTGTTTTTCTCATGACAATTATTTTATTAAGAAAACAAAATACGCCATTGGTATTGTTTGATTGACAGACTGCACAATTCAGCGGCCTCTTACTGACCCTGTTTGAATTATTTTATCATTTTGTGAATTTTATCGAAACGGACAGAAAATTGATTTTTAAACGAAACGGACAGAAAATTGATTTTTCTGTAGAGGTGATACTTTATTTAGAGGTGATACTTTATTTAGATTGTGAGAGAACTCGCTTCTTTAAACACAGCTGGGGGTTAAACAAAAAAAACGCTAATATCAACTGCTTTTTGCTATTACTTCTATTTTTGATCGGGGTCGCTTTCAAGTTCTCAGTCGATCATTTCGTTTTCACCGCATGCCCTTAGGGCTTGTTTTAATAGAATAACATTCTATCGATTGTTATTATTACTTGTTACCAAATCTTGTTTTGATAGAATAACGAAGGGAAATAATAAAATAACCTGCTCAAAGATCGGTTTTGTCTGATCTTTCTGCTTAGATTTTTCTCAGTTCGCGACTAGTTGGAGAGAAAATTTCAGCTGTTTTATGGCGAGCGTATGTCTCCAATGTAATTGACGCGACAGCACTTGAGAATAAATGCGCATTTGACATAAGCTCGTGGTTTCGATGTCTTCTTAAAGTTACAGACCATAAAACGTGGAGAGATTCTTTAAACTGAAGCACAACAAAGAGAGCTTTGCGCTGTGTAAACAGCCTCTGAAACAATGTAAACTCTGCAGTTTACTTTAGTTTGTTCATCAAAGATGTAAGCTTGAAGCCGTATCGCGCGCCGGAAAGAAATTCATATATGATTCAGTTAGTGCCAAGACAAACATGATAATCTTACTAAAACTGTTCAACTTGGTTCCGTCTTATCTAACAAAGCATTAATAAGTTGATTATTGAATCAAAACATTGCTAATAACGGTTAGCTTGGAATCAACGATGGTGCATGTGATGATTTCTTTGCTTCGCAGTCTACGTTGTAATTCTTAATTTACCGTTCCACTCCACTCCGGCAAATTACTAAACTTGGTTATGGCTCCGACGAAACTCCTCCACAGAATATCAACGCAAGTATATGGTTTGACTGTAATTCAAGTGACCGTAAGGACGGACGCTCAAGAACGGCACGATTCCGAAGTAAACAAGCTCGCAGCCGTTCAGTAAGGGCTCGTTTAAGCTTTTCATTGATCAGTGTCACACAACTGACAAGAATGATAAATTATGATTCACTTTTCCTTTAAAATCCAGCAGACATCGTGACCGCAAAGTTTGTTAAGACAATTGACTGTAAGCCATAAGTCACTTACTGACTAGCGTCGATAGAAACCAAGTAACCCGTTGGATTTGCTTAAAGTATGGCTCAATATATCCCCAAAACCTCAACAAGAATTTAAACTGCCTTAAAAACTCGGCCATGACTCACCTCTGATAAAGAAAGGATTGTCAATCACAGTATTGTAGCGAACGGCTCTCTTCACTGAGATAGTGACTTCTTCCAATGAGACGAAGGCAGCTGTGCCTCGTAGAGGATACTGTTGGTGGTGTTACAAGTTGAAGCGGTGTATTTACGTGTGGTCAAATTAAGCCTCATGAATAAAAAATCACACGAAAGGAAACACTTCAAACTTAGCTGTGGTGTGACTCAATAAAAAAAATCAAACTTTGATGCGACCACAAGGACAGCAATACATAGCTCTAAACTATAACGAGCTCGAAAGATTCCACAACAACGATACAATACCTCGTCTCTCTAGGAACCATCCTTTGAAAGCACTGGTTCCGTATCCTATTCTTGTTTGTCAGCTTTGCTCGAGGCGTTCTTTCGTTCTTATGTTTCAGTATTCAATGCTTAGGGCTATTTAACAGCCTGGTATGTTGATAGAAACCGAAAATAGCAGAGCATACCGCAAGTGGAAACAATCTGACACTGACCGCCACAAGACTTGGAAGTGACACGTTTTTTGTGGTGTTTGACAACTGACAAGCGCTCTCCGCTTCACTGCTCAGATGTTTGTATAATAATTTATTTAATTTCTCTTAAAAACAGAAAGGTTTTCATTATGCTATTGTTAGAGGGTGCTGACCCGCCGTCAAAACACTGAACGAGTGATTGGTAACCAAAGCTGGCCTGTGAAGTCTTGTTCCCGAGTATTCCAAGACATTAGACCGCCGGCGTTCGCAGTCAATTATTATCTCAATTGGATATCTTTACAATGAACCGACCCACCGCGCGTTTTAAATTTTAGGAATTTTTATGAAGTCTATAATTATAGAGCCCTGAGAGTCTTTTCTTCGAAGAGTCGCAAAATGCGTCTCTTACCACGAAGGGGCGGATTTTGACAGAGACGCTCTCTGTTTTTCTTGTAATTTGTGCATCAGTTGTAGTGTTTTCTTTTTCACTTTTTTAAAACTTAGTCTGTTTATTCTACAGAAGATATACATGTTAACCGTGGAATGTGAAACAAAGCTGTTCGTAAATCCTTTGATTACAGTTCTTTTGTTGAAGTAATCGTTATACCGTGATTGGCCTTACATGTGCACGAAACTTGTGTCCAGTACAGCTCTGCCTGTATTTTCGTGACCTTCTCTGCATTCATGTTGACAGGCGTTGAAGTTTTCAGTCAAGAGAGCTCATCACCTTGAAAAGACCCTCCATTCTGCTGCTCTGTGATTGCACCAATTAGCCACAAGGCAAAACCTGACTCAATTCCCTTAGCTTTCTTTTCTGAAACAATGTAATATATTTGAGAACGTAACAATATTTCCAAGAACACCACAGGTACGTGCCATGCTAAGTTTATCATCGTGATGTGCGATTATTTTAAAAACAATTTGTTTCAGCCTGCACGTTTTCATCTTTTTAAAACTTATGCGTCACAAGCTTTAAAACACAAGTGACAAACAACCCAACAATCATTTAGTCAAGTCTGAAACATATCGATTGGTCACCTTCTATATATTACTGTGTTCATTCTGATGTTATAGACAAATTGAAGTAATAGCTACAAATTTTTCGTCTCTTCCCCCCCGCTGCTCATAGCTTCCCCGCTTCTGTTTGTTTTTGGTATTTCTTCGCCGTAACACCTCTTCCTCTCCAATGTTTCTTTACTATGTCTTATACTGTAGCCTGACCAATCGGTTCTGTATCTCTGGAACGTACTGAAATTCGGCTTTACCTGGCGAATTTTGAGCTATACCCAAATTCAAGCAGCAAATCGCTCAGTCTGCGGGCTTATGTTCTCTTTGGGTGCCACGATAAAGGAGTGTTGATAAGAAACCTAATTACTGCTTTGTATAATGTAAGAACGTGCAGGATTTCGATTGGGATTCAAACTACAAACTAAAAAAATCAAAAGTCATTCTCTGCCGATTTTGGACAAATCACAATGTGAAGTGAAACAAGCCCAAAGCAGACCAGAGCCCAATTGTTCAAAGGCCGATTAGCCCGAACCCAGGGTTAAATTTTAATTCAGGTTTCTTTATTTCTTTGTCCAAAAGTCTTTAAGGGAAAATTTTCATTATTATTTTTAGAACATCCAATGATCAGATCTCAAGCAAAAAGATTTGAACTGAATTTTCTCTTAAAGCTTTCAGACCTGAAATCAAATTTCACACTAACCCTGGGTTACCTTAACCCAGCTTTGAACAACCCGGGCCAGGACTCCACTGAAAATTGCCCTACAAATGGTAGTAGCCACTCATTCAAGTCTGGGGAGGGAGGAGGCCCTTCTCCGTAAATTAACGTACTCTTAGAACGAATATACTATTTATGAATAAAAATGGACGCGGAAAATATTAAAGAAAAAGCTGATAATTACTTGCACATACAGCCACCTCGAGGTGTTAAATTGCATTGAGATTATAATAAAGTGAACTCTTATCTGACAGTGAATTCAGAATAAGTTTATCTAAAATAAGTACATTTTAAAAATACAAATAAATATCGAAAATACATGACAGGTATTTTGCGGAAATTTCTTGTACAAAAATCTTCCTTATTAAAGATGATCACCCTCATATTCCTCGTGTAAAGAGATTATTTCTTTCCTAAGGCGAGCCTGGTAAATCAAATATGAATCTCTGAAGAGGGTAACTGTCACAAAAAGAGAACATGTAATTCCTCACCGAATTCAAGATTAGAGAAATTCTGTCTCGACTAGTAATAGTAATAGGACTGAGTAGAGTCCAAAGCGGTCTGTAATCATACGAGTGATAACAAAATCGGAGGACCGCGTAGCGGGAGACCGATTTGTTTATCACGAGTATGATTACAGACCGAATTGGACGACACGAAGTCTTGTTACAAATTTATCATAAAAATTACAATTTCCGAGAAAAGAAGAATAGCCAAATTATGAAAGAAAGGGAAAATTTTCATTTAAAGACTGACAAGTGGGTGTAAATTGTGTAATGCCGCTCTTAAATTGACTTTTAATAACAACTTTGAATATGATTGGTTGACTTAAACTACAACTTTGAATGTGATTGGCTTATTGAACTTTCTGATGACAAACTGTCCGATAACAACTTGGCAAGTGTATTAGTGGAAAACAGGAGTTTTTTTAAACCAATCACAAGCGAGGAAATTGTAATTTTTATGATCAATACTGCTAACAGTTAGCAGCAAGTATAATACGGGTATAGAAAAATTATTTTCTCGCGGTGACTGATTATTTCACCGAATATAATGAACTTGTGATAAATATCAATTTTAAATTCCCAACACCAAGATAAATAAGTAACAGACGTGTTCATGAAGTTATGTCCACATCTACCGACCACAAGACTGTTTGACCCTATGCTCCCCTGTTGTTCATTAGTGGCAAATTTGTATCATGTCGTTTGATGGCAAATTTGTTTTTCTGCGAAAAAAGCAAATATATAGGTGCAGCTACTGGCATTTTCAACTTTTTTCAAAACACGTACGGAATGATCCTGTAGGGTACTATTTCACAGTACTTCTCCCAGTACACGCCATACTTCTGCCTGCATCTTACGTCGTCACGGTACGAACGGTGAATCAGAAGGCACAACATGAAAACAATATAGAAATACGGCAACACGTGACCAAACCCACACGCTAAGCAGTACGACAACGCGTTTAGCAAGTCGCCGACGTAATTGAAATGGCGGGAGAGTCCCCACCAACCAGAAGCCAGAAGGAAAGAGACTTGTTGCTTGGAGTCGGTGGTAGCATAAGGTGCTAAAATGTACCGAGCAGGTTTACCCCAGATAGTACATTTACCATTCGTCTTCATCTCCACCCGGAAGTAATCTTTTTGGTGATTGACAGATCGGAAGATCAAGTAACCCGTCAAACCCATTAAGAGGGTGGCTGCACATCCCCACCAGGGCAGGTTCACTGGATTTCGGGCCAGGTAAACACTTTGTAGAGTATACATGAAGGGAAGCCAGACTGTGTCTCCCCAAGCCAAGTAGAAGCCAAAGTGGTCGTGGGCGATGTCGATAGTGCGCAGATACCAGGATTCGTTGAGGAAGAAGTCAACAACATAAGTAGCGTGCAATAGGTTGACGAGAATCATTGTGTTACTAACGTAACCAAAGTCCTTGTACTGCTTGGCAGCGAATGACAGGTTGATCAATGTCCAGGCCACAATTCCAGGCCTTCCGTTGAAAAACAACTTGAAATCAAAAGGACCAATCCTGGGGTTGTGCTCGATACCCATAAAGAAGTCGTAGAAACACGATCCACTGAAACACCGATCTTCCGGATGACTCGGAAAATAATGCGCTTTGACGTAGGAGAAGAGGGCCAAGCTGAAGCCAAACACATTGGAAATGACCATCAAGGCTCCCCAGTTGTCGCTGATAATCGTTGCCTGTATCAGGCCCATTTTCACCAAGATAAAGAACAGAACGTGAGACACAATCCAAGCACTAAAGCCATTACAGTTATAGGTCAGTACGTTTCCAGCAGGCGTAGCTGTTCCACGTCTGATGCGACCAGGAAGTACCAAGAACAAAAACACTTGCAGAAGCATCCACGCGCTGTACAACATTATCGAACCTGCGCTAACTTCCGGGATGTTTCGTCTCGCGAAGACGATGATGGTCCAGGCGGATATCTCGTGCAGCACTTGCCCCCCCAAATCTCCAAGAGAGCACTGATATGCGTGACAGGCGTGCCAGAAGAAGGCAACACAGACTGGTGGCCATAGCAACATGAGGAATCCTATAATATTGGCGCTGAAACCTGGTAGGCCTGGGGACAAATTGATAATTTCATTTTTGGTTCTAACTCTCTCGGCATCCTGGACCCGGTTTCCTACTTTTCTCCTTTTAACGAGCAGCTGAGCAGTGTCGTGCTGTGAATCGGAGGCTGACGGACCCACGTAATCATTTTGTGTTTCTGCCACGTAACCATTCTGTGTTTCTGCGACGTGACCATTCTGCAAGTCAGGCACGTGACCATTCTGCAAGTCAGGCACGTGACCATTCTGTTTGGCAGATACATGGCCATTCTGTGTAGTAGATTCCCCAGAGTACTTTTGCGCTGAGCCGTTTACAACCGAGTGGCCATCGTCTGTTTTAACTTCAGAGGTTGACTTCATGATAGAGTTGTCCAAGGAAGAAAGCTTGTCTACGAAAATATATGAAACAGAACAAAAAAAGATATGGCAAAAAGATCTTGAAAAAAGGCTACAACTAAGAAGATACAAAACAAGTTAATCCTTTTAAGAATGGCTGGCATCTGATTTCTCCTTACACGTGAATAAAGGAAATAATCGTAAGATCAAAACATAGGCATGCTACGTATGCAAGACTTTTTTGTTTTTGTTTTTGATGGATGAGCTGAGATGGGACGCTACGTAACTGATGTTTGCATTTTTGTAAAAGGAAAAGAGCAAAAGATTCAAAAGGAAATATCTTGACTGTTAAGAAAATTCTCTATGTAAATACCTTTGAAAATGTGTATGGAACAGTATGGAGACCATGCATACTGATGTTGGGGTGTAAAAGATTTAGGCATCTTCAATAATTTTTTTTTTGGTGCTCTTAGAGACTCACTCAACCTCGTTCCCAGTACTCTTCATCTCGAGAATAGCATTCATACACAAACCGCGGACCGCAAGCCGCGGTTACATAACATATTTCTCCAAAAACCGGTGCACAAATCTACGAATTACACGAACAATCGAAAATGTGTTGTGTAAGATGTATAACATTTCTCTATAAAAACGGTCTTAATGTAAACCATATTAATAGATATCACTATTGAATACGCCTAAAATGATTTCAGTTCTGTGGGCAAAGAACACCTTAGATTTCCAGTAGTTAGCGAGGCAATGGGTTAATACCATGAGTATGTCGCTTCTCCGGTGGATGAGAACAACCGAAGGAAACACATATAAGTACTTAAACACGAGTTCTTAAACTTCAGTTCTTTAACTTCACACCGTCAACGCGGTTCACTGTGTTTGTTGAATTTACATCGCTGATGAGCCTACAACCAAAATGAAAATCCTCGTTTTGTTCATTTCGGGTGCCACTCATGTGTGAAAACTATGTCATTATGAATGCACAATGCGATCAAATTGATGCGTTTCACATGTTTCCAATCGCTGCCGGCGCAAATTCATTTATACGACCCAAATACGACATAGGGATTATTCAGGAGGGCTTTCCACCCGACTGCGTCTTACTTGTCAGCGTTTCAGGAATCCTACGATGAAACTGTGGAATTAATTTGGATCTAGCTCTCATACACACACAAGTTTTCTTAGTACATTGCAGGCGGCCCAAGCTCCAGCTGTGAGATGATCATCTTGCGTAAGAAGCGTCGTGGCCAAATTATGGGAATATTTACGACCGCTCTTAAATTCTCATTGCTTTTTACTTCCACAGTACATCAATTGTTGTCTGACCGCTCACTTTGTTGAAACCACCGGATTAAGGACTGATCATGAGTTGGTGGTGAATTGAAATTAAGCTACTGTTCAATTCACGTGCTTGGATTCTGCGCTGGATTTGTGGCCGCCTGGTCATTTGAGCTTGAATTTTTCGCTTCTCGGTAATGGAGTGTGCAGCCTTGTCCTTCTCTTAAGAGTAAGAAACCTAAGAATGGATAACTCGCTAAAACGGCCTCGTTTCAACAAAGTAAGCTGTCAGACAACAAGCGATGCACTGTGGAAGTAAGTTGAAGTATTTTTAGCTAATTTGACTTTTTTATCCCTAAGAGCGGCCGTAAATATTCCCATTCAACCTCATGTTTTCGCCACAATGCTTTTTGTCTATCTACGTAACGTTACATAACACCCCATGATTAAAAACTCGTAAAAGAGTAACGAATTGATAAACATCATAACCAACAATTCAAAAAACACACTGGTTTAAAATGCATTTACAGACAACACTACAGCAGTCGTCAAGAAAAATTTAAGGCATACCTCGGTGCAAGAAATAGTGTATTGTTCTTTGTGTTGTCACCAATAATTTTTTAAGATCAACTGTCTTGACTTCTTTGTGTTCTTCGTTCTCCGTCAATCGCCAGTGAAGGGACAGGTTCTCGCACCAAGAGTGAGCCAAAAATTTACCGGTTCGACAACCGTCGAAGGAAAGAATTTTGGATAAATGATGACCAATCAGAACTTTAATATATGATGACCAATAATTGGATCAATGAGCCCAATCGTCTTTCAGTTATTTTTATTCATCACTGACAGAAGAATAGACCGCAGTTGTTATCCACACGGTTTTGATCGTTATAGAACTTCAGGAGTTTTCCATGGAAGAATTAATTTTGCCTTTCATCGTTCGGTGATTGGTCTAGAAACTCGTATCATCATCTGACCAAATCAGATGCATGCGACGAGATGTATCGTGCTTTCCCACGCTTCAGACAGATTGCACGCTTTCACTTTAAGTTCTTATAGGCTCTTCTTGTTTTTTGTTCGTTCTGATAAGTGTTTGGGGTGTAATTTTGTTTTGTTATGAAACTTAAAATAGATTTAAACTCATGATTGCTCATCTTGTTCGCTTGAAAGACTCTCAAGAGCAACAATCGCGTCGACTTTAAGTAACGCCAGATTTTAGGCCAATCTGCTTTCCACCTACGACCCTCCGAAGTTAAGTTCTGAAATGAATTCGCTGATTTAACGGCTTTTTCAGTGATGGCCGTTTTCTAACAAGTTTCATAGTTAAGTTAAGTTTCATAGTCTTCAGTAATACGTTTGGTGTTGGTTCTTGAAACTCGCACCGTCAGAGTGACGTTCTATTAGCCGGATGCAAAACCAGTAAACATTCTACATTTATCTGGTCATTGAACAAACGAAACCTGCAACACTAGTTGACAAAACTGTGTCATTTTTAGTATTTCTTTTTAAACCGTTACTCTGAAACACCGCCAGGTTTTCTCTTATCGTTCACAGTTCGTAACTATTTCTGTAACTCCAGCACAGAATTGCCTGATCTTGTATAATTTATTTTCTTTGCGTTTTTAATTCTCGTATGAGAACCGAAACATGCTTCTGAGCAATAATTTTAGTAATTTTCATTTCGGGATATCATGGAATCACGAGATTATCAAACTTGTTTTCATACGGTGTTGAAGCTGTTTTTCCTCCAATCCTTATCAACGAAACTCATTAATCTTAATGCCTATGTAAAACTCGCTTAATCCCAAATCTTTGGACGTAAACAAAATTTGAATATTTTTTTGCTTCGGTGGATTATATTAATAAATGTCTAGAAACCTTTTTAACCTTTCCCAAATCTCATCTAACTGTTCTATTGTTTCCTAATTTACTCGTTCGTAACCCTCTGAAAGCCGAAAACTCTCAAACGAACGATGGGCCACATCCGAAAAATGTGAATTAAAGAAAGTTTCTCTTTCAGTCTATGTTGCAGACGTCAGGAAAATAACTATGCATGTAGTGCTGTTTATTTCTGGAGCCAGAAAAAACGCTGAGGGATAATGATTGACTCTGTTGAATTTCGTGATAAATAATTCCTTTCAAAATTTGCAAATGTCAGCTTTGGCTGTCAAGTCATCAATAATCCTATTCACCTCTTAATGGGAATTTCTTCGCCTGGCATTGAAACCCAACAATAATTACCTTTGTCATGGAGAGAAGATAATCTGTCTTAATTCATGAAACTGAAATCCAGAAATGAACGACACAAAGCTGCTCAATCTAAATTTTCTTCTTTGCCTTGGTAGTGCTATGAAATTAAAATTTCAAGTCCCGTCAACAGTTACCTGAAAAAATCTTGACACACTCTTTGCTTAACTTCAAGCCGCCAAGGCTTTCCAAATAAACGATTGCCAAGGTAATTATATTCACCTTTCAGCTTATATTTCCCATCGGTCCTGGCAGAATCTACGGTTTATCATCCAGCTATACAATTGACCCATGGATATAAACGTAACATGAACTCGAATTTCTCGTCCAACAATCACCATTATGCCAAGGTCAGACAGACAGAGAAATTATGCGCTATTTCGTGTCAGGCCCCAGTTGCTTATCAAATCGCGGTTTGCTGAGCTACGACACATCCAATCACTTACCTTTACACTTGGTTCGTATATTTTCCCAACAAGAGGCTGCACAATCTGTGAAGTCACTTCAATTATCCAAACGAAGAACACGCTTCCTTTATGTTTATTAATGGCTGTGGCGCTCAAAACAGTGGGTAATCGAAAGCGTGAATGTGACCCTACCGGAAATAATAAAAATATTACTCGAACACGAGACAAACACGATAGATCACAAGGATGTGTTTGATATTCCGCTCCTCAAACCTGCTGTTTATAGCTGTGGACCACGGGATAGAAAATCCCCCACAATGCCGCCTTTTATAATTTCAATCCCTTTAACTCCAAAACTGATTAACATCTAACTTCTCCCTGCAATATTCATACATTATCCAGCAAACTCGTCCAGAATATTCATACATTATCCAGCAAACTCGTCCAGAATATTCATACATTATCCAGCAAACTCGTCCAGAATATTCATACATTATCCAGCAAACTCGTCCAGAATATTCATACATTATCCAGCAAACTCGTCCAGAATATTCATACATTATCCAGCAAACTCGTCCAGAATACTCCAACTTATCAGGTAGAAGTTGTTAATTATCTTACAAGGAAATGTGTAGTAGCTAGAGAGTGGAATTAATAAACAGATCTTGAGAGTTAAGACAAACAGAATTAAAGGGTTAAAACATTCGACCTTATACTATTCAAGGGAAGCTACAAGGGAACTAAAAAGTGGAGTAATGAGTAAATTAAGCCGAAGCACGATTGAATTTCTTGTCTCGATATTTCTTTCATGAACAGATTATTCATACCCCTGCATTGGAAAACCGGAACTTGTAGCGACCTGCTATTTGTTTTTTTTTTAATCTGACGTTTTCGAGCATCGACAAGGCTACAAGACCGCCGGCGTCGACAGCAAGTGTGCTAGTATGCCATGTGTTCACACGCAAGTTTTTTTTTGTCCAACAGCGAATGAGAATTTCTACCTAAGATTATTTCTCTGAGGTTCCGGTACAACACACTTGGTGAAATTTACAGAACAATAATTAAAGGCTTCTTTCTGTTATGCGCTGGGAGTAAGTGCATTATCTTGCAGACCATTATAATCGAGTGGAAGTCGGCTTCAACACGAACTCCAAATCCGGATATGTACTTCTGTGTTTGAGCCCGTGACTTCTCTCCAGTGTCTGTGTCTGGTTAATGTCTGTGCTAATTTGATTTAGAGAGCGTGTGGTGTTTTTTCAAATAGGGATCTGAAACCAGAGTTGAAAACCATTTGAAAAGTACAGGAAGCTTTTCCGCCGGCTACCCACAGATAACCTTTTTTAAAAAGGCTGATGGCTTCCTGCCTTTAAATAGATGAATGGAAATTTTTAATGGAAAGAAAAAACGTAGAATAATTATAGAGATGAGGGAGAGAAAAAGCCATATCCGATGGGGAATGTGGCTCTTGTGGTTTGAGCCCAGGACGTGGAAAACGACGAGGGTCAGGACAGAAAGATACTTTGTTGTTCCCTCACCGCACCCGTTACAGACCATTGACGTCACAAGAGCCTAGTCTATGCTATGACCGGATCTCTTTGGAGATATTTGCCGTTCTTGTGGGTTCGATTGCCAGCCGCTGTACGGAAATGAGCCCACAAGAGTCGGCAAGAGTTTTGCTGGGGGTCTGGCACTAACCTCCCGGGCAAACCTCTCCTCAGATCGTCTCAAATCTTCCCGCGACTGGAGAAACGCGCTTCCTGCGGCACCAATAATAAGGGCCTCTCTCATGACACTGCTGCGGCGGATTTTCTACCTTGATCAGCCCTTGCAGATTATGGCCACTCCATTTTTTTGCCTATTGTCACACTTGTCAGTTAAAATTTCAAATGCCAGTGTTCTCACGGCCGCATTGGCACAAACTTTCCCGACGGGTGCACGAAACATCAGGTCGAGTTACACATTTTAAAGTTGTCTAGCCAGGACTTGCTTGGTTTTATTCGAAGATCGCATATTTGAAAAGGTATGGTCGTTCCCCTTTCAAAGACTATAAAAACTTATGCTGAAATTATAATTATAAAACTGTCTGACAGTCGCGGCAGTAGGTGCTTCAGTGTGGACAAGTTATTTTACAGCATGAGTGAATGTAAGATCGGATGACTCAAATTAACTACAGCTCGGTCCTATACGAATATCTGAGTATTGTTGTTCTTTGTATTGGTCAGATCGTAGTAATTATAACGGTAAGAACGAAAAATTTGTTCCCAAATGGTGGGTAGATAAAAAGAACAGGAAAAATAAAAATCAATTGAGGAGCCCGCCGGTTTATTGTTTTAGAAAGCTGTAACACACCTGTCGGCTAGCTAACAAAAGCAACTTTCTCATGAAAATTTGCATTTCAAATAGGGTCGTTCTCGGTTCTAATAAGATTTTACTAATTATGAAAAACGCTGACAGCAAAAAGATCCTAAAAATAAGTCCCCTGAAGGCTCTCACCAAACCATAAGATGTTTCAAAGCCGGCGACTATTTAGCTTGAGCAAATAAAAAGGGCAAATAACCACTTCACGTTAAAAACCCAGGCTGGCATCGATAATGATTTTCACGGCTTTCGAAGAAAGAAATAATTTTCTGCGTCGTTTTTCAGAAACGCAGTCCTTCATCTGATTATAGCTCACCCCCGGCTTCCGCTTTTACAATCAGAGTGTTTTCCTCGTAGAATTTCACTTCAAGCGCAACTTCCTCGCGTGAAGTCGAAGCTACTTCTTAATTAGATCAACCACAGAGTAAGACTGTCAGCTTTGAAGCAGGAAATACTGTGGGAAAAGTAAATGGTCCGCGCTGAGAAATAATGTCGAATAGAAGAATTTCGCTTAACGCTTGTGACCGAATGAATTTGCTCAGAAAAAAGTATTTACACTCATCGAAATATAAAGTGTTAAGTCTGTCATGGAGACTTGCCTTTCACATTGAGAAATAATTTCATCATTCTGTAATAGTCGTGGGAAACGAGTTCTAGACTGCGCGTTTGTTTGGAGGTAGAAATTCAGTTTGATCTTGGCTACCGTGTTCATAATACATTGATTCAGTAGTCGCGCACCAAACTTGATTTTTAGCCTCTTAGAGGTTAGATATACGACGTAAAATTGATGTAAATAAAATTGAGGGCCTGATTTCATTTTCAGAATTAGCCCTGGTAAAATAATGAAGAAAATTTACCTTCTTTTGAGCTGGTTTGTTATTGACACATTTGACTGTCAACGAATATTCCTGCCGAAATAAATACACCGCACTGACTCAAATCACATGCTAAACTGGTGGAGAAATTCTTCCTATTTCTAGTGATCATTATACATGAGACAAAGAAGACAATTGTTTTTCGAGAAAAACGTGGTGTGTTTTCTATCCAATAGCAGACGAGTGTGGTATAATTTCCATTTTTAAAATGAAAAAAGCAGCTTTTAAAGCAGAATAAAGGCAAAAATAGATCATTAATAGTAATCATGTGACGAAAGTGTTTTTGTCACTGAGGTTGATATCCCAAGATATCAGGTGGTCCGACTGTTCGTAGGGCAAGCTCATGTAGTACAGAGTTTAACCGGGAAGATTCGTTGACAGACTACTTTTGTATTCTAAGGGGGTAAGTTTGTAAAGAAACTGTGGTGCTACGTCGGTGGGAGAATATAACAAGGAAATTTGGTATTATCAACTGAGTTGATAAGTAAACGTAAATTGGCCACCGCAAAGAGTTTCAAATCTGACGTTTCAAGTGTTAGCCTTTGTCATTCGCTCTGATGAGGGGCTATCGCTCGAAACATCAGCTTTAAAACCCTTTTCGGTGGCCAATTTACGTTTACTTATCAACTCAGTTGATAATACCAAATTACCTTATCATTGTTTTCTGGTTAACAAATAGCTCCCAGATTTCGAAAGTTCGCAAAGTTCCATGAAAAAAAAATTGGAAAAAATAAACCGCTTCTCGTAACGTTTTGCAAATTATGACGAAAGTTCATAATAGACATAAAGTAGTGGAGTTAATCGTTAGAAGTAGTACTAGCTTTCACGCTAAGTTTCCTTATTATTGTATGTTATGTCCAGTAGCCTGAAAACTTGAATGGTTTAGTTGATTCTAAAGTTCGCGAGACCGAACACCCAGCAACTGCATTTTATAATAACTTCATTTGCCTAAATAATAAGATAATAATAATAATAATAATATAAAAAAAAGCAGAGATAATAATAAAACTTATTGTTTTTTTAGAGGGCACGGTAACGAATCCTGCAATCTGATTGGTTCTTTACCCGGTCAGTATTTTCCTATCTCTGCCCACGGGCCACGGTAACGCTTTCTTGAGTCGCCGAGTACATCCCAACTTTCGTTGTCATTTTTTCATAAATATACCTCGTTTTCCGGCTGGGCAGTATTTTTAAGCAAACACGTCGGTCACTACCTCAAGCCGATAAATAACTTATGAATCCTCTCTTTTCTCTCTATCAAATCAATTTGGTTGACAGAAAAATATTGGTTTCAGAATGAATTTGAATCAACAAATAGAGAAGCCTTGACTGTGCTCTTTATAACAGAACAGAGCACAGTCAAGGCTTCTCTATTTGTTTTATAATAAAGAATCCGTTAAATTCCCCATGTATTACTTTCAATTTTCAAAACAAACTTTATTTCCAAAGCGAAGAACAGTGTCGTCAGCATGTTCTATACTCTCATAGAGCACGCTACAATAAGCCAATCAGAATCCCTGTTAGAATGTACAATGTACTGTTAGAATGTACAAGACAAAACCTGTCAAAAGTGTCAAACCATCAAAGTTCAAAAACCATCAAAGTTCACACTCTGCAATAGTTTACAAACTAAAATAATTCGGCAGGTCGAATTTAACGCTTTTGCCTGAAGTTTTTAAATCAGAATCTTGAAGTGAAATGTTCAGTGAACTTCAGCCGAATTATGGCTCATAAAAACACGCGGGTTTTTTCACATGACAAGGTAGAAAAAAAACTGTTCAAGGCGAGTGTTTTTTAACTGAACGACAGCCGAATTCACCGGAACATGAAGATCGCTCGGGATGACAGCGCCGCAAAACTCGGCTGCAGTGACTGAAGTGACTTTCCACTCAACACATTGGAAAGGATATCAGAGCGAGCTCTTATTTTTTCACTCGAAGGGCGGCCGATGTAGTTTCTGAGGCTTGCTTTACTGTGATGACCGGAGATCGGCATGATAAGTGAGCCGCGATGACACCGTCATGATTAGTATGAATTTTAACAATTATGCCAGTTTGGTTATATTTTTCATCATTTCTGTTTTGTTCTGTTTTGTTTTTGAACTCTGAACTCTATAGATTATACGAGTGTTGGCTGTGTTTGATTTTCATTACCGTACGTAAGCTTGCAATCTAACTGAGTGTGAAAATCTTTAAAACTCGGAATGTCTATTTTGTTTTTCCTTTGAGGATTTTCGTATCTGCCTACGTTTTAATAACGTAAATAACGGCGCCTGGTATGTTTACAAACCTTTCTTTGGTTCTTCTGTTACTACTTGCCAGCTCGCTTGTTCCGAAATTTCACTTTCAAACATCGGAAAAAGCTAAAAGGAAGTCCCGGAAAAGGTCGAACATAGTACAATTGGCAGAAAGCGTGACAGCTTTAGCTCAGTTCTATGCTCTATACTCTCATAGAGCACGCTCTTTCAACCAATGAGAGCGCGCGTTATATCCGAACTTTATTATAATTAACAATAGTGTCATTACGAAGTTGACAAGCGGCCTAAAAACCGTCTGCAATTAATTTTAATCGTTCACAAAAAGTACCCAGAAAGTTGACACGTGAAGTATTTGGTTACAGTTAAACTGAACGATGGAACTTTCATTCATTTAATATCTGAATTTTCTCGAGCAATTTGTTCGTAGTGAAAGAGCGAGCGAAGTTTTAATTTAAGTTCTACAACAAATATACGCTCCCGGTGAGTCTTTCCAATTCCCCTCAATTTAGACATTTGTACCGTAAATTGCACAACAGAAATTGAAGGAATTTTTTGAGAAAAGGCCGCATCAAATTCCCTTGTGTCTCGTTGGAGTGTGCCGTTCGAATTTAGTTTTTGTGAAGGAAAGACCAGAGTCACACACGCCATTGCAGCAAACAAACAAGCAAACTCTCACAACTTCAAAGTAAAAAAATTGAATTTACTCACAATTACTTTCCTCGCCGTTTACTTAATGAATAGGGGTAAATCTTCGTACATGAATGAATGGTCGATGAGAGTGAATAATACTTTCCGTTAGATCATTGACATCATAGAAGAAAACATTGTCGTGACAGCCCTTGCCAAACTAGTTCTGATGTTTTTCAAATGTTCCTACGCTTTTTTTTTCTTGCGCGCTCTCTAATTGACAGGTGTCAGATTGTGACAGATACTTGTAAAAATAATGTTTCAAAGTTTGTTTCGAAGCCTTTTAAATCACCTTTATCGTTACGGAAATGAAAATGTTTCGCTGAGGCATCTCTCTTTAATTTGCATCACCTTTATTTTAACTACCATTTACTCACTCAAAAATTGTTCACTTTATGGAAGATCTTGCCGTATTTACAGCCCTAAATCATTCGGGTTCTTTCGGAAAGAATTTCGTCAAGTTTAAAAACAATAAATATGTTATTTACCGGCTAAGGGTCGGTCCATATGGTGAAAAACTGTCACCGAGGTCTTGAAAATGCTGCCCTCGGCTTACGGCCTCGGGCAGTATTTTCAAGACCTCGGTCACAGTTTTTCACCATACGGACCTCCCAGCCGGCAAATAACATATATATATATTTACAGACAGATAAAAAATAAAAATAACATCGAAATGCAAAATGGCAAAAAGGGTCAAGCCAGAGAGGAACTAAATCCTCATTAACGGCAGCCCTGTACTGTACTTTGTTCTTGTTTGTTAGGTGTTCCTATTTGGGTTTGTCTCACAGCCTTGGTCTGGACCAACAACAGAGTTCCTGATTTGGTTTTTGTATTCAATGATTGGTTTTATTTAGTTTAAATCAGTAAGTGCTCTATTGTTCATTTCTATTCTTCCTGTAAAATTATTTGGGTTAGCACGTTTACCAAGAGTCTCAGTTCCCTAGGACCAACCGGCTCATAACCCAAGCATGTTTACTCATAGAATACTTAGGGAGGTGTGTTAGAGTGATTAAGTGTAGTGGTAGCAGTGGTAGCAGAAATTTGTCAAGTTGTCTGGAGAAGAACAATTAAAGGAAAAATCAAGATAAGATTCTTGGTGCCTCTCACAGCGAAAGTCCCCTTAGTACTTCTCTACAATAATATGAACTGCAGCATAAGGATTTGGTGGAGGATAAGGCCAGCATGAGCCGTGAAATGAAACTTATATTTTAAGGCGTTACTCTTTTTTTAGAATATAATTTATATTGAATAACAGCTGTGGCCCACTTCCCCCGCCAAACCCGTTTACACTTCTTGATGTAAAAATAATGACTTATTTGTTTCATGTATGTCACTACGACCGAGTTGATATTCGTTTCACTTTGTCACGGGCCATATCGTCGAATACAGGCCGATAGAAAGTTGCTTAAAAATTCCCGCTCCGTATGTTTTAATGTAAATATTTATGTGCGGGTGGCAACACTCCTTACTTTTCTTCAAATATCATAAAGCACTAAGAGCGGGGTGCGCGATGCTTGATGGTCTGGCTTTGCCATGCAACAGGCTCGTGACACTACGCAAAACGCCTTGGAAGAAACGGACAGAGGGCTGCAGACGAAGATGTCCCTTCTCCACGTTGTCGCAAATACTGTGTAAAATAACATTAAAAAAATAGCCTGAAGTGTCTGTCAGTACACCTGCTATGTGATTCGGCTTATATGATCATGCGAAACCAAAGACAATGTCACAGACTAGCTATCGGCTCGAGTACCGTCAGTTCAGCAATTACAACAACAAATAGCAAAGAAATGATAATTGAGTAAATAGATGGACGAAGGATTGAATAAATGATAGCAGAAAAATCCGAGACACCGATTTGTATACCGGCTAAACAGATTGCATGCTTTATATTCGATGAACTTGGCGCTAAGTTCCTTAGAGGATATTGTCCATTATTTGTAAACTTGGATATGAAACTGCAGTTAGCTGTTAGCTGTCTGCTTCTTAGGGCAGAGACAGCACTTATGCTAATATCAGAATACCACTTCACGGTCAATATCTGTCAATGACAGAGCAAGTTTAGACCTGAACTTAAAGAAAATATTTTGTGTGGTTTGTCTTCAGACAATACAACAAGATTTATCTGATGAGTTGTGGCCAATATTAGTGGAGC